GCTCACTTGGTAGCCCAGGCTGGCCTCGAACTCACAGAGATCCACCTGGCTCTGCCTCCCGAGTGCTGGGATTAAAGGCGTGCGCCACCACCGCCTGGCTAGTGCCTATAATCTTAAGGATCAGAAGTTCAAGGTCATCTTTGACTACATAGTGAGTTCAGGGACGGCTTGAACTATCTGAAAAATCTATCTAAAAAAGGAAGCGTAATAAAGATCATACATGATATAATAATAAAGCTAGGTATGGTGGTTCATATTGGTAATCCCAGCGCGTAGGAAGCAGGAGGATCATAAATTCCAAGTCTTCCTGGACTGAAGCAAGATCCTGTCTCAAAACAAAACAAACAAACAAAAAACCCCAAACTACCAATGAACAAAGCAAAGCCAAGACCTGATGGTGCAGGCCTGTAATCTCAGCTACTTGAGAAGCTGAGGCAGGAGGATCGTAAGTTTTGGGAATAAAACATAGGACCGGCAAGATAGCTCAGCAGGTGGAAGCTCTTGCCCTGCAAGCCTGACAGCCTGCTCTATCCCCAGGACCCAGGGTGGAAAGAGAGCACTGACTTTTGCCTCTAAGTTGCTCTTTGACCTCCATAATTGCACCATGGACTGTGCATGCCCATACTCACACACATCATACAAATAAAGGACCGGAAATGTAGCTCGGCTGTAGAGCACTTACCTAGCTTGTTCAGGGCCATGGGTTCAATCCCCAGCACCATGCAAGATGGTTTTATGGGTAAAATGCTGTGCATTATATAATGAAGGCTTAGTTTAAGCTCCAGAACCCCTATAAAACCCAGGCATAGTGGCATGCATCTAATCCCAGCTCATCTTTGTGAGTTCAGGGACAGGCAGGGGACAGGCTGGAAGGTGGGGACAGGCAGGTTCTGTGGGCTCCCTGACCAGCCAATCTAGCCGAAATATCCAGCCCTGTCTCAAAAAATAAGGTGGAGAAAACTGGGGAGGTGGCTCCGTATAGTTAAGAGCACAGTCTGCTCTTGCAGAGGCTGAGTTCGGTTCCTAGTACCTATGTTCAAGTGGCTCACAACCTCCTATCACTCCAGTTCCAGGGGATCCAATGCCTTATGGCTTCCACAGGCACCTTCACACATGTATACAGACACAACATATTTGCATACTTTTTAAAAAACCTTAAAAACTAAAATAAGGTGGGGGTTCAGAGATGGTTCACAAGTCAAAAGCATTTGCTCCTCTTCTGGAGGACCCATATTCTATTCCCTGCACCCACACGGTGCCTAAGATTTGTTGATCCAGTCTGCTGGCCTCGTGGGCCATGCCAGCATGGTACACAACTATGCCTGCATACATGTGTACACATGAATATGTGCACAAACACTCCTACACATAAAAGAAACCTTAAGCCAGGCAGTGATGGCACACACCTTTAATCCCAGCACTCAGGAGGCAGAGCCAGACAGATCTTTGAGTTCAAGGCCAGCCTGGTCTACAGAGTGAGTTCCAGGACAGGCATCAAAACTACACAGAGAAACACTGCCTCGAAAAAACAAAAACAAAACAAAACAAACAAACAAACAAAGAAAAATCTTAAAAAAGTAAGGTGGGAATGAGAGAGGAAGACCCCCAATGTCAGCCTCTGTCTTCCACATGTTCATGCATAAAACCAGAGACCCAAAAGATGTAGTTCATCACTGTTCAAATGATTGTGCCTTCTTTTGTTTTAGTTTTTCAAGACAGGGTTTCTCTGTATAGCCCTGGCTGTCCTAGAACTCACTCTGTAGACCAGGCTGGCCTCAGACTCAGAGATCTGCCTGCCTCCCAAGTGCTGAGATTAAAGGCGTGCGCTGCCACCACCTAGCAGCAATAGCTTTTATCCACAAATTATTATTATCATCATCATCATCATTAATTTGTGAGGTGGGCATCCATGTGCTATGCATGCATGTGGAAGTCAGTAGACAACTTAAAAGAATTGAATCTCTCCTTCCTTCATATGGGTCTTAGAGATGGAATTCATGTTTCAGGCTTGGCAGCAAGCACCTCTACTGTGATGAGCCATCTTCCTGGTCCTGTTTTGATTTTTTGAGATAGTCTCGGGTCGCTAAGGCTGTTTTTTTTTTTTTTAACACTGTAGCTGAGCTTGGTTTTGAACTCCTGATCTTCTTGCCTCTGCCTCCCCAAATTTTAGGATTATAGGGATGCACCACCATGATGAGCCACAATTTTATTTTGTTTGCCTACCTGCCCTGCCCTCCCTTTCTCTCTTTGAGACAAGACCTCACTCACTGTGCTGCTACCTAGACCAATCTTACACTCAACCTGTTGGGCTAAAATGGTCCTCCTACCTCAGCCTCCGGGGTGGCTTGTGTTACAGATACAGGCACGTCATTGTGTCTGCTCAATTTGCTTTCCCTTGAATTAGTTGGGGATAACGTAGCCCTCAGTGTTGAACACTTGCTCAGCATGTGCTAAAGCCCTAGGGTCCATCCCCATCTCTACAAAAGGCAACGCTCTTGTGTGCTTGGGATCCTGGCACTGGAATAAGAGGCTTTCCTCAGCTGTACAGTAAAGCGTTGTCTGAAAAACCAAAATAACCCGCAGCCTCACCCTGACCTGATGCAGAGCTCTTGGTAGACCTGGGTTTTGAGTTTTCCACTTTTGTGTAAATAGCCACATAATTCTCCACAGAAATATGAATGAGCTTTTTTAGGGTGTGCAGTTATAGCTATGCAGGACTTGTGATGTGTTTTGAGGCACACACATCACGTTACCTTTTTAACACCTGGAAAGTACAAGGTTAAAATCCATTAATTACTACTGAAATAAGTGCTATGATGTGCAACGGGGAGAATTTTATGGATCAGCATCAGACAGGCATTCCCAGGACCCTGTGCAGTGGTTGTGGAGATCTTCTAGGGGTGACTGTCCTCAGGTAGAACCTAAAAGATGAATTCATCCTTGGATCCATAGCAAGTTCAAGGCCAGTCTGGGTTACATGAAATCTGTCTAAACGAAATAATAATAGTAAGATGTAGGGCTGGGTGTAGAACTCACTTGGTAGAGCATGTGCTTAACACACATGGGGGTCTTGAATTTAATCAAGACCCAAAATAAAAATGTGGTGAGCTTTACATAGGAAATGATGCTCAGTTAATTAATTGGAGAAATTCTTAACCAGACTTCTACTTAATGGTCAAGACTGCAAAGCCTGGTGTGGTGACACACGCCTTTAATCACAGCACTCAGGAGACAGAGGCAGGTGGGTCTCTGTGAGTTCAAGACCAGTCTTGGCTACAAAGTGAGATCATATCTCAACACACACACACACACACACACACACACACACACACACACACACACACACACACACACACCCCGCCAAAAAAAAAGACTGTATTCATATGGGCATGTTGATGCATACTCAGGAGGCTGAGGCAGGAGGATGGAGGAGAATTTGAGGCCAGCCCAGGCTCCATTTGAGAAGAAAGGGGAAAAAAGACTGCATTCATCCATAGGGCAGGGGCAGCTTATTGTGTCTAGGGCTGAGAAAAAGATCTGTTTGGTGGGCAATGGATTCTGTCCTCAAGTGGCTCTGCATGGACCATTAAGGAGCTAGGATGTCTAAAAGCCTTGGGTTGGATGTGTAGCCCAGTGGTGTGTGAGGCCCTGGGTATAACCACAAAACAAACAAAAAAGTCTAAAACCTCCCTTCTGAGAGATAGTGGCATAGCCCTGTCCAGGAACCTAGAAGCTCTATGTTGTCATGCTTCTGGTTACTGATGATCATTTCTTTGTACAGACATGTCAGGTGCTTGTCCTAAATGGGCTTATGCCAGGGAGGTAGCTCTCAGGTGGGTGAAATGTGGTTGATTAGCAGGCATAGTGGGATAGAGAAGAGTTCTGTGGCCATTATTTTTCTTTTCTTACAGTGTTGGGGTAGAACCTGGGGACACATCTGCTAGGCAAACACCCCACCACTGAACTATATCCCCATTACCCTTTGCAGCCATCAAGCTGAGTAGCAAAAAGGCTTTTTTTTGGAGACAAGGTCTCACTCTGTAGACCAGGCTAGCCTCAAACTAACCAGATCCATCTGCCTCTGCCTCTGCCTCCTGAGTGCCAGGATAAAAGGCGTGCGCCACCACGCCAAACTCAGTTCTTACTGGCTCTGTTGTACTACTGTAGGAGAAACTGAGCTGCTAGGAGGGCAAAGAGTAGTTCAGTGGTGAAGGAAGAAAGACTGGGAGGTGCACAGAGGAGCCAAGCCTGGGCCCAATCAATGCTCAGCAGACCCTCCTCCCGCATAGGTAATGTGAAGCACCTAGTTCTCTTCCTCCACGAGGCTGTCCTGGTGCAGTATGTGGACACACTCAAGCTTGCGGTCCCGTCACTCATCTATACCTTGCAGAATAACCTCCAGTACGTGGCCATCTCCAACCTGCCCGCCGCCACTTTCCAGGTGAGCCCCCAGCCCAGCAGAGCTCCGGGGGACCTAGGAGAGGGAGAGATGGATGGGAGGAGGGAGGTGGTCTGCAAAGTGCAGGAACTATGTCACTTTCCGAATGTTCTGGGGACTCCCTCAACTTCGGCTTCCGTATGTGTCAAAATGGGGAATGGGGGGATTTGGGATAACGGAAAATATGCCTGCGGCCAGACATGGTGGTATATACCTGCAAACCCAGCACTCAGGAGGCTGAAGCAGGGGGATTTGGGATTTGAGGACTACATAAAGAAACTCTTTCCTGGGGCCTAAGAGATGCCTCAACAGTTGAGAGCAGCACTAGCTGCTCTTCTGCAGGACCCAGGTTCGATTCCCAGCACCCACATGGCGACTCACAACCATTTGTAGCCCCATTTTCAGAGGATCTGATGCCCTCTTCACCTCCAAAGGCATTAGCCATGCATGGGGTGCAGAGATATTCATGCAGGCAAAACATCTGTACACTCAAAGAAATACCTGGGAAGAATCCTTGAGTGCTTAGTGATAAGTCTGTGGCATCTGTGCATAGTCTTGTATACAAAAGGTTGAGTAAAGGATCTAGATACTACAGCAAGGTTGCCTGGGTTCAAATCACAGTGCTGCTGCTTTCTGGCCATGTGATTTGGGGGGGGGCAATCACTTACCTTTCTCTGCCCATCCTTATTTTATTTTATTATTGCATTTTGTTTTCTTTAGACAAGGTCTTATGTAGCCCAGGCTGCCCGTCATCTTGTTATGTAATATGCTGTGATCCTCCTGCCTCAACCACTCAAGTGTTGGGATTATAGGTTTGTGGCACCAGGCCTGGTTTATGAGGTGCCTGCCAAGCAAAACGACCAGCCAAGCTGTGTCTTCAGCCTTTATTTTCTGTTTGGTTTTTGAGACAGGATCAGTCTAGCCTTGAACTCATGATTCTTACTCCACCTCCTAAGTGTTGTGATTTCAGTCATGGGCCACCAGGTCTAGTTTTCTCATCATTAAATTGCAGATTATAGTGGTGTTCAGTTCCAAGGTAGCTGTGAAGATTAAGTGCACTGTTTCTGTTAGAGTGCCCAGACCCAGGCTGGACACATAGTAACCAAGAAGTATTTCCTGGCTTTTTTGTGCTTGATTCATTTGTCTGAAGACTTGCTTCATCACAAAGCTTTCTGTTTATCACCTACTTGGAGGGGTTTTACATACATGAGCTTTACTTTATAGAGATGATGCCAGGCCTCAGAGAGGACAGGCGATTTATCCCTGTCACATCACAGGGAAAATGGGATCGGGTTGTAGATTTGGGTGTGGCCTGGGACATGGTGACAGAGCTACCTTTTTGTAACTCACTGCGAGGTTCTTTATTGAGATGATTTCCAGCCCAGACTGGCCTCTGACTACACATAACCAAGGGTGACTTTGAATTTCTGATCCTCCTGCCTCCATTCTTCGAGTGCTGGGATTCCAGGTGTGTGCCACTGAACCTGGTGCTGGGGGTGGAACCCAGCAGTCTGTGTGTGCTAGGTGAACTCTTGACCAGTTGACCAGTTGAGCTACGTCCCTAGCTGTCTGGGAGGGTCTTTGGGAATTACTTAGCCACAAATTAGTCAGTAGTCAGTGGTCGGTTAATTTCATTCATTCATTCATTCATCCATTCATTCATTCATTCATTTTTAGTTTTTTGAGACAGGGTTTCTCTGTGTAGTTCTGGATCTCGCTCTGTAGACCAGGCTGGCCTTGAACTCACAGAGATCCACCTGGCTCGGCCTCCCGAGTGCTGGCCGGCTGGTTAATTTTATTGCCACGGACCGCACCTTATCCTTTTCATTGTGCCCACAGTGGGTGCTGTCTCCCAGCCCTGGCACTTTCTGGGGGTTGGGGCCAGCCCTCAGTACCTTTCCTACACCACTTGCAGGTGACGTACCAGCTGAAGATCCTGACCACGGCTCTGTTCTCCGTGCTCATGTTGAACCGCAGCCTCTCCCGCCTGCAGTGGGCCTCTCTGCTGCTGCTCTTCACTGGCGTTGCCATTGTCCAGGCCCAGCAAGCTGGCGGGGGTGGCCCCCGGCCACTGGATCAGAACCCCGGGGCAGGACTAGCAGCTGTTGTGGCCTCCTGTCTCTCCTCGGGCTTCGCAGGGGTATACTTTGAGAAGATCCTCAAAGGCAGCTCGGGTTCTGTGTGGCTGCGCAACCTACAGCTAGGCCTCTTTGGCACAGCGCTGGGCCTGGTAGGGCTCTGGTGGGCTGAGGGCACTGCCGTGGCCCGTCGAGGCTTCTTCTTTGGGTACACGCCTGCTGTCTGGGGTGTGGTACTAAACCAAGCCTTCGGGGGGCTACTGGTGGCTGTGGTTGTCAAGTATGCTGATAACATCCTCAAGGGCTTTGCCACCTCCCTGTCCATCGTGCTGTCCACTGTTGCCTCCATTCGCCTCTTTGGCTTCCACCTGGACCCCTTATTTGCCCTGGGCGCTGGGCTTGTCATTGGTGCCGTCTACCTCTACAGCCTTCCCCGAGGTGCAGTCAAAGCCATAGCTTCCACCTCCGCCTCCGCCTCCGGGCCCTGCATTCACCAGCAGCCTCCTGGGCAGCCACCACCTCCGCAGCTGTCTTCTCGAGGAGACCTCATCACGGAGCCCTTTCTGCCAAAGTCAGTGCTGGTGAAGTGAGAGCTGGTGGTGGTTGGGGGAGCCCGGGGAGGGGGTTGGGCTGGAGGGGGTTGGGCTTCTGCAGGTTCAAAGTTGTTGCCAGGGCCTGACTCCTCCTGTGGGGTTCGAGGGTTGTTTTTCTCCCATCCTTCTAGAGGGATATGGAACTAGGGCCGAATGGCACATGAACCCTTCCTGGTACATGGATTCCCCTCTCCTGAAGGAGCTTTCTAGAGCTGCTTCCTCTGCCCCAGGCTAACCTCTTTGGGAACAGGGTTGGGGTACTGCTATTCCAGGCTTTTCCCCACGACCCTCTCCTGGAGCTGTCCTGTCTCTCATGCCTGGGACGGTTCATCCCAGCCATCCAGCAGACTGGACAAAAGCCCTGCAGTTCTTCAGTAACGACTAACGACTACCCGTGGGGTTCCATTTCCTATTGTGTGAGGCCTTCTCTCCTGCACCATCACCCTGGATCATGTCAACAGCTTGGTCTCTGGGGTGGCTTTGGGGCAGTTTCCCTGCCACAGAGACTTGAAGATCAGCCTGTTGTAAGTGCCTGGAGTGAGGAGAGAGGCACAAGCTGAGGATTTGGCATCAGCTCATCTGGGGGAAGAGTGCAATAAGCACCGTTCGCTTTTCAAAGTTGGGGGCTTTGTGATCGACTCAGATTAATGATCCAGAGTGTTGGGAAAAGAGGGAGGGGAGGTCCTTGAAGTGGCTGAATCTCGTGTAATTGAAGAGACAAAGACGAAGGATTATCTTCTGAAACATCCAGAGAGGAAAAATAAAGCTGCCAATCCCACTCATGCAGCTCCATTGGCTGTTTAAAACACCCTTACTTCATGGCGGGTGTCAGAATGATGAATCATGGAACCTGCACCCCTGCGCTCCCCAAAGCTTATTAACTCCTTAACTGTATCCCAGATGTGAATGTGTGTGTGTGTGTCTGTCTGTCTGTGTGTGTGTATGCGCATAAATACACGCATGGGAGGTGCCTGGGCTGTCTTTGCTATATGTAAATAGGGCCACTGGATCTTTATTTTTGATTAATTTGTTCTGATTTTTTGGGGGGAAGTTGTTTTCTAAGGAACTGTAATGAACATATGTGAGGCCACCCAATGCCAAATAAAGATGTTGTATTTATTTAGTCCATGTGTAGCTTTCTGACCCAGGGGCCTGCTCTCTCCACACAAGCACCATTATTAACCCCAGGTTTCCTAGCTTACTACTACTGCCCGCGCATGCTCGGGACACCCAGCTGCCAGCCCACCCCAGCTTTCTGTTTCTCTTTCCTTCCCGTTCCCACCACAGGTTGCTCACCAAGGTGAAGGGCTCCTAGCTGCTGGAATTGAAGACGCTGGCCTGCCTTCGATCTCCCTTCTTGCCCTGGCCCAGCTGGGACTAAACTCTATATCAGTATTAGGGGTGAGGTAGACATGGGACTCCCTGTCCCCACCAACCCTGCCCCACGTAGGGCTGACCTGACTAACCTCTGTTAATGGGCCCGTCTCAACTCCTGCTACCTTTGCAGTATTTCTTAGGTGAGTTTCTGCAAATAAAGTGTGTTTTGCATCTTGTCAACTTGGGTTGGAAAGCCTGGAACGAATGAAGAAAGGAAGCACTCAAGCCTCATCGATCCGATCCACAAAAAAAAAGCTTTTATTAAAAACAATAAGGGGGTTGGGCGGTGGTGGCGCACGCCTTTAATCCCAGCCCTTGGGAGGCAGAGACAGGCGGATCTTTGTGAGTTCGAGGCCTGCCTGGTCTACAGAGCCAGACCCAGGACAGGTTCCAAAGCTACACAGCTAAACTCTGTGTCGGAAAACCAAAACAAAAAACAAAAAACCAATAAAGGGGCCGGGAGTATAGCTCATTGGTGGAATAATTGCTCAGCATGTGCAAAGCTCTGGGTCCTATCTCTAGAGCGGCAGGGAGGAAAGACAGAAAGACAAAGGGCCAAAGCTCCCAGGGACAAAGGTTCAGTCCTGCTGTTTGGTTCGGGAGGCCTCGGCATTGGCGCGGAGCACGGCCCCTGGGGAAGGGTATGGGCGCTGCTGGAAGAGGGGCCCGGCTGCTGTCGTGTCTGCGCCGGTCTTGGCCTCATTCCTCTTGGGTAGTCCTGTTGACCATGTGCCCCTGGGGACAACAGAGAATTAGAGGAATCACAGGCAAAGGGTGTAGTGGGCACCCCCCACCTTCCCAAGGAAAGAATGGGAAGAAATACAAGAGGAGGCTACTGTTCACAGGTATAGCGACAATCAGGAAATCAGAGGATTGGCAGGGGGGTTCACTTACCGGGGTGCATCTGAGTATGAGCTGGGGTCCATGGGGTCTAATTCTTCATCTTTCCGGCTCACTGCTATACAAATAAGTAGCTGGTCAAATTCTTCCCTTGAGGCCCAAGGAACCCCTGATCATTGAGCCCCTCTGCACAGGAAGCAATGGTACCAGTGGCTACCATGGCCGACAGCACGCTTCTCCAGGAGCCCAGGTCTAGGCATGTGCTCCATTCTGTGCCCTGGTACCTCACTTGACTCATCCAAGTCCCAACCCGATCTGCTTACCCTTCTTACTCTTGGGGTAAGGAGCCAGCTCTTCTCTGCGATGGTGGCGCCGGTCTTTCCCATCTTCTCGCTCTGCCTTGTCGTATCCCCGGTCCCGATCTCGGTCCCTGTCCCGATCTCTCTCTCTCTCCACTTTGTCATAGCTCCGCTCTCGATCCCGGTCAGACTTCTCATGGTTTCGTTCTGCCTTCTCATGGCTCCTTTCTGGCTTCTCATGACTTCGGTCTGGCTTCTCATGATTTCTGTCCAACTTCTCATGATTCCGCTCCAACTTGTCCTCAGCATCTATGGTAACGCAGAAGTCCTGAAAAGCCCCTCTCTGAGACTGCAAGAATCACTAAGACGCCCCTGCATTTGCCAACTCACCTGTATTACTGTTCCTGAGTTTCTTGGCAGATTTGGTAACGACAAAGTTGGGGTCATGTGGTGAGAGCCACGACACGAGGTCTGTCTCCACATTCCAGTAGTAAGGGAGTCCACTGTGGGCAGGGAGAGGGAAGGGCGTTTCAGCACACAAAGATGTCCCTTATACCAACTGTCTCCCCAACCTCTGCTTAGATCTGCCCCATGGCTCCACATGCAGATCTCTTCCTTATGGAGCCCACAATAAGGGATTGACACAGGAGGGAAAAGCCAGCCGTCCCTCCTGCCTCATGGTGGTAGGCTCACCAAGAAGGGTCAAACACTTTGTACCAGCTCGGCGGCAGACCCTCTAACCGGGTGGCCTCATAGTCGACAGGATCATCGTCATAGTCCTCAGCAATAATCTCTTCCTCTGGCTCTGGAAGAACAAGGGAAGAGGAAAGTACTTTAAGAACCTGGGCGTGGGGCTGGAGAGATGGCTCAGTGGTTAAGAGCACCAACTGCTCTTCCAGAGGTCCTGAGTTCAATTCCCAGCATCCACATGGTGGCTCACTACCATCTGTAATGAGATCTGGCGCCCTCTTCTGTACACATAATAAATAAATAAATCTTTAAAAAAAAAAAAAAAAAGAACCTAGGCGTTCTCTTTCTAATCCCAGGGCCTGAGGCCATAACCACTTACATCTATACCATTGGATGTGGAAGACATAGAGGTGTGTGTTTAGTTGATAGAGAAGCTTCAAAAACTAATTCCTGAGTTCAGATACCACATGGCCATGTATCATCTAAACCTATTTAAACGACATGGGTTTGAAAAGCACTGTGTGTGTGTGTGTGTGTGTGTGTGTGTGTGTGTGTGTGTGTGTGTGTGTTTGCCTAAAAATAATGGCTCATCTATTCACCTTCTGAACTGTGATAGGTATAGCAAACAGTGCTCTGAATCTACTTCTAAGGGCTGACATATATTAAGCCTGCAGCAAGAAGTCTGGTGATAATAGAATAAATATTATCAGCCCAATGCCTGGCAATCAGTAGGCCCATAGCAGGTTCCAGCTGTGGGTATAACAACATATACATATGCCATGCTGAGTGGTGGTGGCATATGCCTTTAATTGCAGCGCTCAGGAGGCAGAGGCAGGAGGATCTCTATGAGCTATGTCCACTTCCAGGACAGCCAAGGCTACACACAGAGAAACCCTGTCTTGAAAAACCAAAATAAAATAAAATAAAATGCACATGCCAGCCCAGTGACACCAAAAGAGGTGTCAGGTATGATCATCCATATTGCTATTGCTAATATAAACTATCAGCAGTGGGCTCAGTGCTCAAAAGACTTAAAAGAAACACTAATGATGTGGGGTTTGCCTGAAACTCATACCCTAGCACCACCAATATTATGATGCACTTTCCGGTGCCTAACACACCATATAGGTTAAAACTCATGCCAGAGCCGGGCGGTGGTGGTGCACGCCTTTAATCCCAGCACTCAGGAGGCAGAGCCAGGTGGATCTCTGTGAGTTCGAGGCCAGCCTGGTCTATAGAGCGAGATCCAGGACAGGCTCCAAAACTGCACAGAGAAACACACACAAAATCACAGACACAAAAAAAAAAACCTCATGCCAGATTTTATTATTATTGGCAATAATGTGTAATTAGCATCTAGTAATACAGTAAACCTAATTGATAGATGATCATTTTAGTCTATTAGCATAACATATGTGCCAGGTACTTAGCCCCAAATAAATGTTAATAGGTTATAATGCCCATTACCACTTACATCTGCTGAGTTTAACCATAAAACACCAATACCCTGCCACTGTATTTGAAACATAGACTGCAGGATATATGATTCTTATTACATAAATACTGGCTTAGTGTGGTGGTGTACACCTTTAAACCCAGCATTAGGGAAGCAGAAACAGGCAGATCTCTGTGAATTCAAAGCCAGCCTGATCTACATAATGAGTTCCAGGCCTGCCAGAAATAGAGTGAGACCATGTCTCAAGCATTAATTAATGACCAAGTAGTTCCCCCCTGGCCTGGAATTCACTATGTAAAGCAGGCTGTCATCTGTAATCCTTTTTGCCTGTCTCTGCAGTACTGGGATTAGAGATGCATGCCATTATGCCTAGCTTTTTTTTTTCCAAGACAGGGTTTCTCTGTGTAACAGCCCTGGCTGTCCTGGAACTCTCTATTAGACCAGGCTGGCCTCAAACTCAGAGATCCTCCTGCCTCTGCCTCCCAAGTGCTGGGTTTTAAAGGATTATGACACCACCACCAAGCCTGCTTAGCTTTATTTTTTTGAAGACTGGGTCTCACCAAGTTGCCATGGCTGGCCTTGATCTCCTGGGCTCAAGCCATCTTTATATCTCGGCCTCCTAAGTAGTTGAGACTATTGGTACATGGCACCGTGCCCATTTGATTCATAAATTAAATTAATTCACATAGTACTTACCAGGCAGTAGTAATGGATATCAGGAAATTATATTGACATTGAGATGCCTGCCAGGCCATGCAAGATATCGAGTATCAACAATAAAGCCTGTCAAGGAGATGTACCTCAATAGTTGAGCACATTCAAGAGCTTGGGTTTGATCCCAGCAACGCAAGGGGGG